GTGGTGAAAGGTCATGTGACCGTATTGCAATGATTATAACATCAGATCAAACGGACAACAGAGTTGGCAGTATGGGCACACTGCTGATCCCATCGCTGGTCTGCACATGTACCAAATTACATCCAAATCAGACCATTACTTTTTTTGTCACTGAGTACATATTGTCCTCTCAGTCATTATGCCTTTCCTATAATGACAACAATAGACTATACAATTATGTGATATTAATCTTGCACTGAAATTTTGGCAACCAAGAATAAACAGCTGAAAAGTCAAAAATTCAATTTTTGGTTTTGGCCAAATCAGTTTTTGAAGGCCGAAAATACTGACTGAAACTGTGACGTTTAACACCAGAACTGCCTGCGCTTTTTTGACCACCTGCTGCAACAGGCTTCAGCGTTTGATACCCTTTGCTTTCGTTAATGAGCCGTCGCTTTAGCATAATGTTCATCTATTAAGAAAACAGTGGAACAGTCAGTAATCCTCACAGCTACAGAGTCACTGTCACCCAAAAAAAGACATAAAACCCATAATACAGTTTTTCTCGATTGGTTTGGAGCATTTCGTAAATGACAATAAATATTTACAAAACAACAAGTGTAATCCCCTCACTATAATGTCACTTCTGCACAGCAGAACATCATGTCTCATTGCTTCACACAAATTTCCAAATGTTTTAGTACATATATGCAAACGGTTCTGTACAATTGTCATCATTTGGCACAATTTTCATTTGCTTTATTGTTGTTGGTCAAAATTATGCAGTTTCCCATTGTAATAATTTTATACCCAGAACTATATATGTATATGATCATTGTGTTAGCCGCCACATGCAAACAGTTAACCAAGCTTTCAAGATTATGTAAAATATATTCTATAAATTGCAGTAACACGGCATGGTTGTGTTTCAGTGCATGATATTGTTGTACTTGTATTGCCATTTTGTTGTTTTTGTGTTATACAGTGCTGTGTGACTTTTTTGCTTGCTATTATACTATGTCTTGAGATCTGAAGTTACATGTGCATGTGAGTGCTTTCTCTTGCCAGTGAACTTTACATACTGTAATATAGAGCCTTGCAGGGTTGAAACTGATGTCTTTGGCATGAATAAGTATCAATTTGCTTAAGAAAAATGATCAGTCAGTGATAAAGAGAAAGTAGGAATGGACTTTCATTCAGAATTGTGAAGCCCGGGAGCATATTTACACTGAAATACTGGCAATATATCTAAGCATTTTGACTTTCATGGTCATTTAGAATTACCTTTACGTTTACTTTCACTTTGTATTCCCCATCTGCCATTGGGAAAAATGACTCAATGCCCGGTTGGCAAATGTACTCAGAATGAAACTAAAGGCACCTGTGTAAAATACAATCAGATTGTGTCTGGAAGCAGCTTAAATAAGCCACCAAAGACATGTATGAACTGTGAGTAGCNTTTACATACTGTAATATAGAGCCTTGCAGGGTTGAAACTGATGTCTTTGACATGAATAAGTATCAATTTGCTTAAGAAAAATGATCAGTCAGTGATAAAGAGAAAGTAGGAATGGACTTTCATTCAGAATTGTGAAGCCCGGGAGCATATTTACACTGAAATACTGGCAATATATCTAAGCATTTTGACTTTCATGGTAGTCAGTGACAGTGATCAATCAGTGACAATGAGAAAGTCACTATCATTTAGAATTACCTTTACGTTTACTTTCACTTTGTATTCCCCATCTGCCATTGGGAAAAATGACTCAATGCCCGGTTGGCAAATGTACTCAGAATGAAACTAAAGGCACCTGTGTAAAATACAATCAGATTGTGTCTGGAAGCAGCTTAAATAAGCCACCAAACACATGTATGAACTGTGAGTAGCAGCTGCGTGAATTAGCCTGTTTGTTTTGCCTTATGTTTATTGCAGTGGGTTTTGTGTAATATTTAAGTACATTTTAAAATTAATTTAAAATAAAAACATATATTTTTCAATTAACGGTTTCACCTGGGTGGATTTCCATAAAAAATAATGCTGCTTTATACATCTGTTAATACTAATGGCACATTAGCTAAAACAAAGGGCTGCATACGCAGGATAATGTCTTGCTTGCCGGCAAAAGAAAGCTGATGTTTGTTTTTTTATTTTTATTTGGTATTTGAAGTGAGTCTATATAATGGCAGTTTTCAGAAGAAATAAAATCTACTTTTCTCTATCTTGCTGCATGTATATGTTTTTAAACTGATAAGCTCAAAAGCAAAATTAATTGAATACAAAAATTTGAAAAAATCGGTAGGTCTACTTAAATTATCAAGTAATTAGCCAAAGTCTATTTCGGTTTCAGTTTTTGGCCAAGAAAAACAATTAATATTTGGTTTCGGTTTTTCAGTAAAAACACCATTGTGGTCCGTCACTGTGATATAATGCTAAATGCTGCAATTTCTTTCTGCCATGTTAGTGATGGATCAACACGGACGGGGCTTTTCTGCGCACTCTGGAACATCCTAGACAGCGCTGAAACAGAGAAGCTGGTTGACATATTCCAGGTGGTGAAAACGCTGCGGAAGGAGAGGCAGGGAGTGATACTGAGCTTGGTGAGTCAGTGATTTCAAAAGTCTGGTGTCTTCTCACGAGAAGCCAAATGATTTTATTTGTGCTGGAACAAATTAGAAGTCTGTTTATTGGCAAAAATATATGCCACCATTATAGTATGATATTCAAGAATTTCCCTTTGAGATCAATAAAGTTCATTTAATTCTAATTCTGTATAGAATTAGCATTCCTTGAAGAAAAAAAAAATATGCTGTGTTTGCTCCTATTATGGTGCAAGATTTCACTGTAGCACAATGCACATAGCGCAGGTACAATGGGATTCAAACTTGTGTGTTTCCTGAAAACAGTGTCAAATAAACACAAGACAATAAGAACAACAGCTAGCAATAAAGAACAATGACAGCAGATGCACAGTGCAGTGAGTCATTATGATTCATAACAAAATATACAGTGTAACGGGGAAGGAGTCTCAGGAGACAAATACTATTGGAGGGCCAATTTATTAAGAGAACACTGGGGAAAAATACCAAACAAGGAGGGGGAAGCAGACCCTCCAGAACAGTAGTGCTTAAATAATCAGTAACTGAAAAAGTGTGTTTGCTCTCTTTTGCATTTTCTTCCCTTTTCTTGCACAAGGATTACTTGCTGTTTAAATACTCTTGCAAATATTCCCTCCTATCAGGACCAGTACCAGTTCCTCTATGACACAATAGAGAGCACCTTCCCTGCCCAGAACAGATAAATGAAGTACAGCCAAGCCAAGGGAGCGGACTCTGTGGACCTGGCATGTTGGGGCAGGACAACAGCAGTGTTACCAAAGGTGGCCAGCAGGGGGACACATAACAGTGGGTAATGGGAGTAGCAAGGTGGAGACCGAGAAACCCATCAAAGATGGGGCTAAGGTGCCCAGGACCTTCATAGAGAAGACCACAGAGGAGGCCCTCACTAAGCGTGCCAATACAAGTGTGGAGAAACCTATTGGTATCACTTTACTTAAGGCCATGTTTTTATTAATTTATAAACACATTTGTAACAAATAATAATGCATCCATAAAGAATTAATAAACATGGCTATAAATATCAAAAGGCATAACACATTATAGCCATGTGTATTATGCATTATAAATGTTTTATGAAGCTCTCATGTATAATAGACTATATATACTTTTATAATACATTATAATGGTTGGTATAAGCATTGTAATGGTATTTATAGTACATTATAGATGAAAGCTTCAAAAGGCAGTCATAATACATAAACATATCTATACAGTATGTGTTATGCCTTTCTAAATATTTATAGCCATGTTTATAATGCTTTATGAATGCACTATACTGCATTATGAATGTGTTTATAAATTACTAAAAACATGGCCTTAAGGAAAGTCTTACCAACCTATTTATATTTATAACCTTACTTTTATTTTAGCTTGTGCATTGTACATGATACATATATGCTTCAGTAGTAATTCCCTCTTTTATTGTGAATCTTTTTGTTCTGCATGTGTTTCCTACTGCATTTAAAAAACATTTTAAAACATGAATGAAGTGTAAATTATGCCTCATTTCTTGCATATTCATAACAATTGACTGAGTTTTGATACTTAAACAATTGTGTTTTACAATATACAGCACCAAAGTCAAACACAAATGCTAAACATTGTATTACTATGCTGTTTCTGTCTGACTAACTTTTGAAATTATCAACTTTATTAATGAAATGGAATTGGAACTGTTAATTTTCTGCATGAATAAACATACCTTTTTCCCCACACATGTATTCGGGCGTATGTTTCTGTTGCTGAATTTACCATAATCAATCCACTTGCAGAGAACCAGTTAAAGTCCACATGAGTTTACATGACTTGTGTTCTTTTTACATGCCCAAGCTCCATAAAATTCTCAAGCTGAAACAATAATTGAAAGTATGATGCAAAATTTTAAATATATTGTTGTGTTACAAAAAGCAGGAAGTCAGTGGTAGAACAAAGAGAAAATTTCTAATAATTTTTTTAAACAACAGATTTTCTTACAGTACCTTTACTGTTCTACTGACCCAGTTAACTAATCTCTTACATACCCCACTTTTCAGATGGGCAGTCGGCTTGCACAGGATGATGGGAAGGCGCAGTCTTTGCTATGTATATGAATATGCTACAGTATGTATATGAATTTGTTTGTGTTAGGGTTGCCATGGGGTGAAAAATTTCAGGGACCTTTCCTAGAAGATTCCACAGAAATTTTAACATGGGAATTTTGAGAATTTCTTACGCACGGCCAACTGGTGATCATTTTGGTGAATACAGGTTAGTAACTACTTTCAGTTTCTGATTTTTACCTTTTCATGGACACATGCTTGAGTCTACATCAGGCCAAGCTGTGCTAAGGTCATATTTTTATTATTGTTTTAATTAACAAATTATACAGCTACCAATGTTGGGGAAGTTGTTCAAAAAGATTACTAATTACTTGTTTCATATTATAATTAGATTACTTTATGATTGCTTTCTGAAAAAAATAACGATATAAATAATTTTGCTTTTAATTGCTCTCTTAAACCCCTATGAATCTACAAAATAGAAAATGCTAATTAAGCATCCAAGCCTTTCCGTACTCTGATATTAATTAAACGCCCTTCCAAAAGAGAATACACACACAGCAGCTGCAGAAGGGGTCATGGGGGTCAGCTGCGATGGAGATGGGGTGGCAGGGCCTTGGTGGATGGATTGTCAGTCACCAAATCTGGCCTTAGGCACATGGAACGTACCTCCTCTGGTGGGGGACGAGCCTCTGGTGCAGGAGGTAGATAGAGTCGGGCTCACCTCCAATGCACAGGTCAGCTCTGGAGTCAAACTCCTGGAGAGGGACTGGACACTATTCCACTCTGGATTCCCCCGTGGTGAGAGGTGCTGGATAGGTGTGGGTCTACTTACTGGCCACTGGTTTGGTGCCTGTATGTTGGAGTTCACCCCAGTGAATGACAGGATTGCCTTCCTTTGACGTCGTCGGGAAATGAACGCTGACTGTTGTCTCTGCGTTTGTGCCTTTCATGGAGACCTTGGATGGCATGCTGGAAGACACCCCCACTGGGGACGCCATTGTTCTGCTGGGGGCCTTCCGTTGTTCTGCTTAGCGCTCACATGGGTAACAACAGTAAACTTGGAGAGGTGTGATTGCCCTGCCCGATCTGAACCCAAATGATGCCGTTAACGGACATCTGTGCTAACCACAGTTTGTCCAGAACGAACACCATGTTTGATCATAAGGGTGTTCATAAGTGCATCTGGCGCCCAAGCGCCCTAAGTATCGAATTAGCAGCTATTAAGGTGGGTGTCCGTCCAACACTGCCTTTTGTGTCTCTTCCCTGACTGACCAGCAACTGTCGCTGGTCATCCCCCCATCCTCCCTCTCTGTGTCACTGGTCATCCCCCCATCCTCCCTCTCTGTGTCGCTGGTCATCCCCCCATCCTCCCTCTCTGTGTCGCTGAAACATAACTCAGTGGGCTGAGCGTGTGGTTCTGAGGTTGTACCCTCTGGTCATGACTTTGAGGTTGGGTGGAGGACAGCCTCCCCCTTGTTAAATATTTTTTGGTTTCGGTTTTCCTAGTGTCTGGTCGTTTATCTTTGTACTTCTGATTCAGGCTATCCTGTTTGTGTTTTATTATGTTTCCGTGCTATTTGGTTCTTAGTTACTGCAAGTGTTGTTAGTTTTTAGTGTTTTTTAAAGGCGGCGTGGCCAGGTGCATTATCAGCGCATTGCTATTTCACGGCAGCGCAATGCCATTGCCATCTCAAACCGGTGATTTCATCAAAAACATGAATAGCCTGGACCCTATCCTGGAAGTCATCGGCACTGGATAAGACAAACAGGTACAGAGGATGGATGGATGGATGGATGGCATTAAAAAATAAATTCAGATGTTTTGTTTTAAATACACAGCAGACTAATTTGTTGCAACATTGTGGAAACATCAAAGTATTTCCATACTTTCCTTTTTACATTCAGATCCAGCCTTGGAAAACACGAAAATTAAACTGCATGCTTTTCCATACTGTGCAAGAGCCCTGTAGTATGCTTGTGTGTTTGACAACCGTACAAACATCTGCATATGTCCCAATTAATATTTTATTTGTTCCTTCGTTTTGTCATTCATGGAATAAAAACTGTGCATTTAACATTTTAACACATTGTTTCTTGCAACAGTTGTTTACAAGCCTATTTTCCCACTTACTTTATTGTCTAAATATGTACTTTGGCCAGGGGTGCCCAAACTTTTGCATACAGCTATATAAGAATTCTCCATCGAGCTAACCACGTTTCCGCGATGTGCTTTAGTGTAGCCAGGTACACCTCTGTGAATGTGAAAATGCACATTAGCGGCTGTATGGGAGCCTCAACTACACGTTTTATGAGAACTACTCATGTAAACTTGTAAATATTTTCCCCTACAAAGGGCTACATTTTATCTGTGCTAATAAAAACGTTATTACCGGTATAATTTGCTGTTAACAAGTTGTAGCAATTCAACCAAATGAAACGTCACCTGTCTGCGATCTGCGAGTGCCAGTTAAGTTTCCTTCCGTCCATTCAGAAATGAATGTGCTGTATTTCTTATTGCTCAGCACAGCGAGTCTGATGTTGGCATCAAACATTATATTCCCGCATCACTCTAGTGCTCCCCCTAGTGGCAAAAATGAAGAATGCCAGGGTTTTGCGAAACTTAACATTCAACGTATCCTGATTTTCTTGTCCAAAAAAATTCTTGCTGACCAGGTTATATCCTTTACCAACATGAATTTTCGTAAGTCTACGTGCGCCCCATGAAATGAGGCTGGGCGTGTTCGGCCTCGAACGCCTAACACCAGTGTTTTAGAAGGTAACAGAAGACTTGATGTACTGTATGAGTTGTGTCGTCTTTGAGCGAAATAAATGGTCTGTAACTGGTGTCTTATTTCTTGTCTAATAACGTTTACAACTTTTTGGAACATGCGTATTAACCCTCTCTTCTGTTATCACCTTAGGTCCCTAAATGCACTATTTTTTGCCCAGTTAAATACATATACATACATATATGCCACTAGATGTCAGCATTATACAAGGGTTTTTTGCAGAAACCAGAAACTCACTTGTAGAAGCTGCATTTATATAATGTATCAGACAAATCCAATATCAGTATTACTGATAGTAACTTGATAACACAACAGGTATTATCAGATGTTTTGTAAACAACAGTCAACATATTTTGAAACATTGATTGAGAAGTGTAGCTGTAAAATTTTAATTATGAGCTTACACATATTGAGATATTGCTGTAACATTGCAGATTTTTATTAATAAACCTTCAGTTCTGTCATGTTTCAAAACACCCCTTGAATAAAGTAAATTATTATATAATATTCAGCTCTTCAAAAAAGGCACTAAAATACAAGAGCCAGAGGTCCACCAGCAGTCAAAAGAAAAATATTCACAGCTCCTGTAATAGTTCATAGTTTCTGATTAATTTGATATTTAAGTTTTAAAAGTTGCTATTTAACATTTTAATGAACAGTCCTGCAAGGAAGGAAATAGTGAATTATGTATGAATTAGCTGCTTTCGTGCTATAATTTTTGAATAGCTGAAGCCTTGATTAAGCTTTCAGCGTTCATGAGTAAGATCAGTAGCTGTGAATATATGTAGTAACAATCATCTTGACCTCTTGCCCAGGGTTTAATTAGTTTTTTCTTAAAAAAAAAGGTCTGTCAGAGTTTATTTTTGCTAAACCCCCATTGAAGTGTTACTTAAGACAGATGCATGTAAAAGGTTGCAAAGCGTTTGGTCTCAGTTGATGGATTCTTTACTTCTCTCTCGTGGTGGCTTGGTGGTAAGGGCCGCGGGTTTCATCCCTGCCTCTGGCACTGTGTGTAGGGTGTTTGTGTGTGAGTGTGTGCCGTGTTCTGGACTGGCCTGCCAGACAGGGTAGGCCCAACTTCATGGCCTGTCTCCAGCAGTAGGGTCCAGGCTTACCGTGAACCTGCAATGCTTATGGAAGATGGATGGACGGATTTGCCAAACTAATTTGTCACTAATCAAAT